CTCAGGCAATCCACTCACCTCAGCCCCCCAAAGCACTGGGATTACAGGCTGAGCCACTGAGCCCGGCTGAGCCTGCCTAATTTACTACTCTGCTAACCTGCTTCCCCATCCCTAGAGACATGGAAAGATGTTTATGGGATACCACTAAACAGATTAAAACAATGCCTCCTGAAGCCCCAAGGTACAAAATAGTACATTCATTTCCATCAATTTGCTACTGGGAAGAAAGCCCAGAACATCCCCTGGATAGCATCACAGAGGGAATGGGGGAATGTCTGTATCTCATCCTGGGGAGGGGGCTGGGGAAAGACAAGGAAATCAGGAAGCTGCCCAGTCAGCCTGCCTCGCTTAGGCCCTGAGGTCTGTGTTGGCCAAGTCTCCATTGCCCAACCCTCATTCCCACCACAGAACAGCACTCACCCTTGGGCCCCGTGTTGCCAATCTGGCCCACAGCTCCCACGATGCCAGGAATGCCCCGAGGGCCAGGGTGCCCATGGGGTCCCTGCTTGCCTGGGTACCCAGGAGGCCCAGGGGGTCCTGGAGGACCAATCATTCCTGCTGCACCCAGGGCTTCCCGCTTGGCACTCACGGCTACCTCTGCTAGTTGCTCTGGAGGGAGGGAGAGAGAAAAGTCTGAGATGAGTGTCAACTCAGTAACACTAGGAAAGGCAAAGCATACTGATGGCCCCTGGCCTCTGGGTTTGCAGACAGAAAAGCACCACGTTTAAGTTTCCCCTTCCTCCGGCCCTGTTTTGCGGGTCAAAGGTCCAGAGTGACTTATCCAAGGCTCCCAATTCCCTGGAAGCAGAACTGGAATGAGTGCCCAGGACGGTAGGTGCTCAGACAAGTCGACGTGGAGAGGCTCCCAAGGGTGGCAATGCCCTGAAACGACCTGGGAGGAGGGTTTGCTGCCTCTGCCCTCACCTTGCAGCATCTTCAGCACTACATCCACGATGTGCTGGTCACTGGGATCTCGGCCCTGAAAGCAGAGGCCCTTCAGGAGGAAGCCCCCCCGCTGCCAGAGTTGGCCACTCCGGCATCCTGTGACCCCCCCTCCTGCTCCCATGTGCTCCCAGGTCAGGCGTTGGGAATCCCTCCACCTGCACTCACACCCGTCCACTCTGATTTGGGGCTTGGATCTAGCCTCAGAGACGCCAGCGGGCCTCGGGGAACTCCCAGCCTTTGGGGGATAAGCTGCACCCTCAAAGAGATCTCCTACCCGGGAGAATTCCCCCGCCACAGGGCCCAACTCACCGCCACGCCCTGTCTCCCAGGCTGTCCTGGCACGCCTCGGTCTCCGGCCAGTCCTCGAGGGCCGGGAAGCCCGGGGTAGCCCTGCACCCCTGGGGCGCCCGCATCCCCGCTGGGGCCCGGGTAGCCGGCTTCTCCGCGGACTCCTTGCTGCCGGAGGCGGGGTGG